CCCATGGGGAATGGCGGGTGCTGAATAACCAAATAGGCCTGTTACCGGAGAGGCATCTTTGCTTGGTAGGGTCGCCGCCCCTCCTGCCACATCCAGTGCACCAGACTTTCACTCCCTGGTGTCAGTGCCAGGGGACAGGGAGGGAGGCCCCACATAGGCTGCTTTGTCCCAGGCCATGGCCTGAAGTCTAAGTCGACCAGCATGCCAGTTAATAAAGTGCTGGATAACACAGCTTTTACTGTACTTTACAGTATTTCTTAGACAAGGCAAGCAAACTACAAAAAATTTTTTCACAATCTAGTTGTCATTCATAATTAATGTTCACTACAAAATAAACTGAAATCTCCCTCTTCTAATTTGAGAATTAGAAATATAATCTTCCTAATATAAAATTTTCCTAATATAGAATTTTCCCCCAATTCTTAATCTCAATTTACCTCTCTGATTGTGCAAAACACTTAGCCAACTTAAGTAAAGTTCACCTTCACTGCTTCCTAGTTGCAAATTTTGTGCATGAATATTTTCTTAATTAGATCAATATCGCAAAAGCAGTTTTTCTGTAAATTATACTTTTTTCCCCTCAAAAACTAGGTGTTTTTGATCTACACTTTCTTTAATGTAAGGAAACTTTGCAAAGACAAGGGAAATGTAACACTATCAAAACAAGGCATATTTCATAAACGAGGCAAATATTACTAATTTTTGGTACTATTACAACTTCATCATTAAGATAAACTAGAATATCCCAGACTAGACTCTGTTAACATCAGCAAGAGAGGCCCTCTCACAAACACAAAACTTGCCTTTTCTTTTAAACAATTTAGAAAGCATCATTCTATATTAGTTTTCATTTTTAAATAACTTACCTTTTTATGATTGCTGAACCAAATCAACAGTTTAGCTGATTTAGTACAACAGCAGGTACAGACATTTACTCTCCCAGGAGAAACTGTTCTGGGCTGATTTAACCCTGGTTGTTCCCAGGTCATTTTTCTTCTGGAGTGCCCAATTTTATTTTGAGAGGAAAAGCCAAAACATCTGGATTTTCGTGAACATTGCCAAATTTCACAATTTCCATGAAATTGTGATTTATTTCATAGATTTCATAGACATTACGGCTGAAAGGGACCTCGGAAGATCATCAAGTCCAGCCCC